ATGCATAGTGAATAACACGCGGGCCGGTAGGAGCGATCAGTCTTGGAATGATTGTTGTTGCTGGTGTTATTACTATTATTGTTGTTGTCGTTGTCGTCGTTGCCGTTGTCGTCGTTGTCGTCGTCGTCGTTGTCGTTGTCGTCGCCGTCGTCGTCGTCGTCGTCGTCGTCGTCGTTGTCGTTGTCGTTGTCGTCGTTGGTGTTGTTGTTGACGACACCGTGTTTCAGAGGCCCCCCTGGGGGAGGTGTGGGGGGGGGGGCGCACCGCACCTCGCGCACCTCAGCGCACCGCACCGCGGGGAATCCTTGGGCATCCTGAGGAATCCCCAGGGAATCCTTAGGAATCCCTAGGGAATCCCTAGGGCGTCCTACGGGATCCTTCGGAATCACTAGGGAACCTTCAGGAATCCTTACGGAATCCGGAGGCCCTCCTAGGGAACCCTACGGGGTCGCCAGGGAATTGTTAGGAATCCTAAGGGGCTAGGGAATCCTCAGGAATCCCTAGGGTATTCTACGGAATCTTCGGGATCCCTTGGGAATCTTTTTGCGAAATCCTGAGGAATCACTCGGGAATCCGACGGAATCCTCAGGAATCCCAATGCGTCCCCAGGGAAGCCCTAGGAAGTCCACCAGAGGTTTTTGAGATGCCTCTGAGAGGCCTGCTTCCGAGAGGCCTCTGAGAGCTCTCTGAGAGGCCTCTGACAGGCCTTTGAGAGGCCTCCGAGATGCTTCTGAAAGGCTTCTCAGTGGTATCCGAGGGCTTTCTGAGATGCCTCTGAAAGGCTTCTGAGAGGCTTCTGTTACTAATGTACTCATACCTCCTACCTCCTTGTTCTTCCTCCCAGTAGGAGGAGTGAGACGAGGACGAGGCAGAGGAGGAGGAGGACGAGAAGGCGGTGGGAGGAGAGATGAAGATAGCTCTCGACGACGACGACTGCGATGACCACGACAATGACGACTATGGGCCGTTTTGGCCCCTCGGGAGCGTGCTTGGGAGACTTCCTTGCTACTTGGGGCCGCCTTGGGGTGATCTTGGAGCCTCTTGTAGGCTTGTTGGGGGCTATCTTGAGTCATCGAGGGCTATATTGAGCGATCGTGGAGGTCATCTTCAGCTCTCTTGGGCCTCGTTTGGCGCCATCTTAGGCCACATGGGACGCTCTAACCCATCGCGGAACGCCCCGTTTCCAAGCCCAGGGGTAGGGGGTAGGAGGAGGGTTGAACCCCTCCGCGAAAGGAAGAGGGGGTTCAACAGAACGGGTTCCTTCAACCACTCACGCCCTAAAGGGCTGGTGGGGCTCAATGCAGAGGACTGTCAGGCACCAGAGGGCATGCCCCTCACGATGGGGATGACGATGATGCACATACGATGAGGATGACTCGGATGACATAATGATGAGGATGATGGGGATGACGATGATGCACATACGTATGATGTGTAGTCTATGTTCGCAGTGTTGAGTGCGATCGCCCTCCTTATCCTCCATCCTCCTCCCTCTTCTCTCTGCCTCCTCCTCGATCTGCTCCCCCTCTTCTCCCCCCTCTGCCTCGTTCTCGTCCTCCTCCCCCTTCTCTCCCCTCGCTCTCTCCCGTCATCCGTGTTCTGTCCCCTCCAGGGGGAGGGAGGGGGAGCCGATGATGATAACGATGATGGTAATGACGATGATGATGATGCTGCTGCTGCTGCTGATGATGATCATGATCATGATCATGATGAGGATGAGGATGAGGATGAGGAGGAGGAGGAGGATGATGATGATGATTATGATGATGATGATGCTGATTAGGATGACGTCGATGATGAAAATGATGGTGGTGATAATGTTAGTGCTGACGATGATGATGAACATGATGGCTATGATGATAACAATGATGATGGTGGTAATGATGACGACGATAATGATGATGCTGACTACGATTATGATGATGATGATGATGGTGGTGGTGGTGGTGGTGGTATTGGTGACGGCGATAATCATGATGCTGACTAGGATGATGATAAAGGTGGTACTGGTGACGACGATAATGATGCTGACTACGATGGTGATGCTTACTACAACCCTCGTCAAAATTAGCCTCAAACATGTCTTACGTGGCTGAACTGTTTGTGGGGAGATACTGTTCAGAGTTGCGGTGACTGCGAGGTACTTGTATGCGCCGCCCCTCCAATGTCGGTCATCATCGAACTTCCGAGTCGTTCCCAGTCAGACGACTTTTGCCATGGCCCCGACATTGGAGGGGCGTCTATCGACATTAACGAGCGCGCCGACGTCGCAGGGGCGTGGTCGCCATTTTCGAGGTTAATTTTGACGAGGGTAGTAGGATGGTGGCCATGACGATGATGATGGTATAGGCGATGATGGTGTGGTGGTGACGATGATGAATATGATGATGGCGATGACGATGCTGATCATTATGATGATGGTGGTGGCGATGATGATCATTATGGTGGTGGTGATGACGATGATGATCATTATGATGATGGTGGTGAGGTTGGTGATGGTATTGATGATGGTACACCTCTAAATGGATCCTATTAGGGGTGGGTGCCCCTCTAATAGGATTCTATTAGAGGTGGATGCACCTCTAATGGGAGTCTATTAGATGTGGGTGCACGATTCTAATAGAGGTGGATGCACCTCGAATCGTATGTTACTGGAGGTGCGGAGGTGCGGTGCGGTGCTCTCCCCCCCAAGCCGCGAAGGGGCCTCTGAATGCCGGTGTTCCCTCTGTGGGGACGACGGGTAAGCGAGGCCTTGGGCATGGGGCCCACAAAGCCGGTGTTGCCTCGTTGAATGTTCACTTCTGAAGAATCGTTGTTGTTGATCACCCCCGCCCGGTGCACATTGTATTTTTCAATTGAAGTGCCCCTCCCGGGGCTCGCACCTTGTTTTTTATCAGAGAAAGTCTTGAGGCTCAAACGGTGTCGTTGGCACCCGGTTTACAACAACAGCGATTCCCGCTTGATAGTTCATTCCTCACAATTTATTGAAGAATCGCGCTCCCGCCCGAGGCGTCTTCGCATCGTATTCAGGGCGCTCTCGCCTGGGACTTCCTTGCAATTTATTCAGGAATTCGCTTTCTCGGCGCTCTGGAGTCGCGCTCTCGTTGGAGACCTGCTTGCAATTTACTCAATAGCGCCCTTGCGTTGGAATTTCCCGCAATTTACTCACGCGCCGCGCTCCCGACATTCAGGCACCCAGGAGTCGCGCTCACGCTTAGGACTCCCTCACATATTATTTAGGAACCGGGATCTCGCTGCCCTTCGTGGCCCAGTTGCAGCCTTTCGTGGCCTCTTCGCTGTCGTTCGTGGACCCATTGCAGCCCCTCGTGGCCCCCTCGCTGCCCTTCGTGGCCCCGTTGCAGCCCTTCGTGGCCCCCTCGCTGCCCTTCGTGGCCCCGTTGCAGCCCTTCGTGGCCCCCTCGCTTTGTTTCGTGGCCCCGTTGCAGACCTTCGTGGCCCCGTCGCTTCGTTTCGTGGCCCCGTTGCAGCTTCTCGTGGCCCCCTCGCTTCGTTTCGTGGTCCCCTCTCTTCGTTTCGTGGTCCCCTCGCTTAGTTTCGTGGTCCCCTCGCTGCCCTTCGTGGCCCCGTTACAGCCCTTCGTGGCCCCCTCGCTGCTTTTCGTGGCCCCCTATATGTATGCCGTTCGTGGCCCTCGCTCGTTCGCGCCCGTCGTGGCCCCATATGCATGCCCTTCTTGGCCCCGCTGTCGCCCTTCGTAGCCCCCTCGCTGTCCTTCGTGTCCCCGTTGCTGCCCTCAGTGGCCCCGTCCTTGCCCTCCGCGGCCCAATATACGTATGCCCTTCGTGGCCCCCGCTCGTTCGCGCCCGTCTTGGCCCCATGTGCATGCCCTTCGTGGCCCCGCTGTCGCCCTTTGCGACCCCCTCGCTATCCTACGTGGCCCAGTTGCCACCCTCAGTGGCCCCGTCGTTGCCTTCTGTGGCCCCGCATTATCTGCCCTTCGTGGCCTCCGCTCGTTCGCGCTCTTCGTGGCCCCATACGCATTCCCTTCCGTGTCCCCGCTGTCGCCTTTCGTGGCCTACTTCGTGCCCTTCGTGGACCTGCTGTCGTTCTCTCTCTCTCTCTCTCGCTTTCGCTCGTCGTCGTCGTCGTCGCCGTCGCCGTCGCCGTCGCCGTCGCCGTCGCCGTCGTCGTCGTCGTCGTCGTCGTCGTCGTCGTCGTCGTCGTCGTCGTCGTCGTGGTCGGTCCCGTGTCCGTCCCTCTTGGGGTCGGGTTGCCGCCGATCAGCGCTGCCGCTTGCCAGGCCGGCGGTCCCCGGCCGCCCCGCCGCTTGCCGGGGCCCGGCCTGCAGGGAATCAAGGTAACGATCGAAGACGAGAGGGCGGGTATCGAGGGTTTTGGAAATACGCGTTAACGGACACTAAAGCAAATAAGAGCGAACAGTATTCAAATGATTGTTGTTGTTGTTGCTGTTGCTGTTGTTGTTGCTGTTGTTGTTGTTGTTGCTGCTGCTGCTGTTGTTGTTGTGTTCGTTGTTTTCGTTGTTGTGTCGTGTGTGTGTGCGTGCGTGCGTGCGTGTTTGCGCGCACCTCCTAGATTCGGCCATCTGTAGCCACTGCTGCGTTCCTGGCAAAGCCAGTTGAGCGCTCCAGTGCCCCTGGGGACGCTGGTATGAGTGTGCACGTGTGTGTGTGTATGTGTGCGTGTGTGTGTGTGCGTGTGTGTGTGTGTTTAGTTTAGCTCGACCGCTGGCGCAGTAACCTCTGCCTCGCCGCCGACGACACAAGTGTGTGTGTGTGTGATTGTGTTTGTGTGTGTGTGTGTGTGTGCACGTGTGTGTATGTGTGTGCACGTGTGTGTGTGTGTGTGTGTGTGTGTGTGTGTGTGTGTGTGTGTGTCTGTGCCCGTGTCTGTGTTTGTGTCGGTGTCTGTGTTTGTGTCTGTGTCTGTGTCTGTGTCTGTGTCTGTGTCAGTGCTGTGTGTGTCTGTGTCTGTATGTGTCTGTGCTGCGCGTGTGTGTCTGTGCGTACTGGCGCCGCCAGACGAGCCGCAAGTGGACGGAGCAGAGCCTCCAGGACCATGGCGCGCGCAAGGGGAAAGTGTCTACAGCGGAGGCCAGTCCACAAGAAACCTTCCACAAGAAACCCAACCCCGAGACCCCAGGACATCCATGGATTTTTGGCGAGGGAACGTCACGCTTCCCATAGCAAAACCATCGAAACCCAAGAAACCCAGGGCACCGTGGAGGCAAGCAGGGTGTTTCTTGACGTGGGTCTCCACTGTAAGCAGACCGAAAGATTTTCCTCGTGAGTCCCAGATGAGGACGACGATGGATCGACCGACGACGACCGACCCCGACCGACCGATGACGACGACGAACGACCGACGCGCCGACCGATCGACTGGCCGGCCAGCCGGCCGGCTGGCCGGCCGGCCGACGACGACGACGACGACGACGACGGCGACGACGACGACGACGACGGCGACCGACGGGCCGACCGACAGGGAAACACCTCCCCGTAGGATATATCCATGTCCACCGCCCCCCAGGGTCACCAGAGATCCGCACCCCAGTCGGTGGATTCGCGGGGCGTTTCAGAAAGGGCCCCGCCTTTGGTCGGCGGCGCGCCCGTGCAGGGGCGAAGGCAGATGGGGGCGGGCTTCCTCGGAAAGCTCAGAAGGCCTCCAGCCCTCTGAGAAGCCTTCTGGGCTTTCTCTGAAGCCCCGCCGCCTTTGAGAAGGCCTGCCCCCTCTCACTTCCCCTCTCTGCGAGCCGCCGATTCGGGGCATCGACAAGCTGACATCTCCTCCTCGGCCGGAGCCAGCGGGAGCGAAATGGGGGCTGCTCCGTTACGGTTGAAAGAAAAAGGTTTGCACCACTTGGGCGGCACGACAACTGATGATACGATCCCCGCGCCCCCGACCTGAACATTGAGAGCGGACGCGCACGCTGAAATGGAATGTATCTTTATTTGTCCGAAGGGCCCCGGGAGATGTCACAGCTATCAATATTAAAGTCGGGGGCGCGGGGGAGAAGCAGTGCCATCCGATCTCGCAGCTCAAGCCGTAGCGGTGCAGACATTTTTTTGTCAGCAGTAGCGGAGGCAAGACTCGCCCCCCCCCCCGAGCCGCAGCCGAGGTTGGTCGGCCTGCAGCACCTGGCTGCCCTCGCAGTCACCGGCTGCACTTCGTAGCTTTGCGTACATTCACTCCTCTTCCTCCTCCTTTTTCTCCTCCTCCTCCTCCTCCTCCTCCTCCTCCTCCTTTTTCACCTCCTTTTTCTCCTCCTTTTTTCTCCTTTTTCTCCTCCTCCTCCTCCTCCTCCTCCTCCTCCTCCTCCTCCTCCTCCTCCTCCTCCTCCTCCTCCTCCTCCTCCTCCTCCCCCCCCCCGAGAGCTGCAGAAGCCTCGCCGGAGGCATTCGGGGCTCCCCAGAGCGGGCCGTGCACTCAAACCCCCTCGCGCCTCATCGCTCGGGCCCCGAGGGTCAGAGAGGCCTTCAAGACTTAGGCTCGGCCTCCATCCTGAGGGTCATTTCGGGAGGGGAACAATACACACAGACACCAACAGTAGTCGATGCCCCTGAAAAAATGGGAAATAATATGGGAAGTGGGGGTGAAGACGAGAACCCAGAAGATATTGGAAAATAGGGGGAATCCTGGGATTTGTGTGTATTTATTTGTGTGTCCCTGGGACCCCTCATTACTGTGTCTCGCTCCAGAGGCTTCCTCGCGTCCGAGATGGAGGTTCGGCATCCACGATCCAAGATGCAGGCTTTCGACCCTCTGGGTGAATGCCAGTGGGGGGTCACCACCTCTGTCCTGGGCAGCGAGCGTCGAGGAGGAAAGCGGACCCGTGACGCTTGGGACATTTCTGAGCGCCCCCATCCAGGGAGCCTCTGGGAAGCCGCCACCCCGCAGCCCAAGCCGCAGCATGAGCCGAGCCCGAGCCGCAGCCGAGGTTGGTCGGCCTTCAGTACCTGGCTGCACTCGCAGTCACCAGCTGCACTTCGTAGCTTTGCCTACGTTCTCTCCTCCTCCTCCTCCTCCGCCTCCTCCTCTTCCTCATCCTCATCCTCCTCTTCATCCTGCTCTTCCTCCTCCTCCTCCTTCTCCGCTTCCCTCGTCTTCTTCTTATTATTGTTAGTCTTATTATTATTGTAATTATTATTATTAATAATATTATTATTATTGTTTATCCTCCTCTTCCCTGCTTCTCCTCCTTCTCATCATCAGCATCGCCATCATCATCATCATCATCATCATCATCATCATCATAATCATTATCATCATCATCATCATCAGCAGCAGCAGCAGCATCAGCATCAACATCAGCATCGGCATCATCATCATCATCAGTAGCATCATCATCACCACCATCATCATCATCGACATCATCATCGTCATCGTCATCATCATCATAATCAACAACACCATCATCAGCACATCATCATCAGCATCATCATCACCATCATCGTCAGCAGCATCACCATCACCATCATCATCAGCATCATCATCATCGTCATCATCATCATCATCAGCAGCAGCATCAGCATCAGCATCAACATCGGCATCATCAAGAATATCATCATCATCATCATCATCATCTCCATTATCATCATCGGCATCATCGTCATCATCATCGTCATCATCATCATCATAATCAACAACACCATCATCAGCACATCATCATCATCAGCATCATCACCATCATCATCAGCAGCATCACCATCATCTCCATCATCATCACCATCATCATCACCATCATCATAATCAGCATCATTATCATTATTATCATCATCATCATCATCATCATCATCGTCATCATCATCATCATCATCGTCATCGTCATCGTCATCATCATCATCGTCATCAGCTCTTCCTCTTCCTCCTTCTCCTCCTCCCCCTTCTCCTCCTCCTCCTCTTCCTCCTCCCTCCCCCTCCTCCGCCTCCACCCTTTCCCCTCATAGCTAGCTGCTCCCTGTCGCACCCCCAGACGTGTCAGCAGGGCGGGCCAGGCGTTTCGCTTGAGACTTCCTCCCCATGTATGATCCTGAAGCTTGACATGTGCAACACTTTCACGAATGGAAAGCGGGCGGCTTCCAAGATGGGGCTCTTGATCAGCACCGCGCACATTCGTCTTGCAAGTTTGGAGAAGCTTCAAGGTTGGAGGGAAGGCCGCTTTCAAAATGTGGCTCTCGCCTTTGCGCCGCGCACATTCGTTAGAAAAGCCTGCATCAGCTTCAAGCGTGTAGTGTGGTCCCTTTTCAAGATGTGGCTCTCGCTTTAGCGCCGCGCGCATTCTTTTTGAATTCCTGTAACAATTTCAAGAGTTCGCACGGTTGAAGGCCGAGGAAAAAGTGTTCGGTTACGATTACGAGTCTCATGGCCCAAGAGTCACGTTGATTCGCGGCGTTGAAGTCTCAGGAATAATGTTCGGGCGCACCAGTCACGTCGACTCGCTGCGCTGAAGTGCCAGGAAGAGTGTTTTGGCACGAATGAGGATTCTCAGACAGTTGTATTCGATGGGGCACGTGAGCTATACGAATTCCTGTAGGGACCTGCTACCCCCTGGATTACAAAGTGGAGATCGGAACAATCGAGAAAGCATAGCATCCTGGATCTTCGTTCAAGGGTTGGCATTCGAGCTTCGATCTTCGATCGAACCAGGATCCTGGATCGTCGATCGTCGTTGTTCGGCCGGTCCTCTATCCTCGACCTTCGATGTGCCTTGGGTCCTCGATCATCGATCTTTGATCGAGCCTCCAATATCAACCTTTGATCGGCCCTGCATCCCGGAGCCTGGTTTTATGATCGAGCTTGGATCCTCGGTTCTCGATCTTCGCTGTTCCGATGACCATCCATCGTCAATTTCCGATGGATCGTGGCCGCTCCACCCTGGCTCGACGACCCTCGCACGGCACCGGATCCTCGACCCTCGACCTTCGATCTTCGATCGCTGATCGGCTGTCGAGCCCTGATCGGCCTCGGAACATGGAGCCTCGTTTCCGACCGGTGTTGGTTCGCTGGTCCTCAGTCGGTCATGGGTCACCGACCCTGCATCCTCGGTCTTGGATCATCGAGGGCAAAAAACCCTGACCCTACTAGTACGATGAAGACGTGGCCTCACCGATGTTCCATTTTTCGCATCAGGACTAATACATACGGGCGGTTCGGCTCGATGCATCTGCAGAAAAGACCCACTATCCCTGATGTTCCTGGCCCTCCTGAATTAGGCCGCCTCCCAAAGTTTTAGGGGTCCTTCCCCCTTCCCAGACCCCCGACGTCATGATTTGTTTCATGACGCGACCCCCAGAGGTCTGGACCTGGGACCGGCTCTTCGTCCAGAGTCGTTGCTTGACGGTCCCGAGGCCCAGCGAGGGCCCCCAGGATCCCCCAGAGGCCGAAAGTGGCGAAAAATTTGCCGTCGTGATTTTTGTCGTGACTCGAGGGGGTCAGGGTTGTATACCCAATCATTGGATCGCCGCCGCCGGACCGTGCTTCCTGGGTGGGCCTCGTCACCCCAGAAGATGCGCCCCCCGGGCAGAGCCCTCCCCGAGTGGGGAGGGCCCGCGGCCCGAGAGAGCGCCCTCGAGGCGGCCTCGAGGATGGCTCCCAGACAGTCCTAGTACGCTGAAGTCGGGCGGGTCCCTCTACAGGAGGGAAATTCAAGAATAGGCAAGCAAGAGTCAGGGGACGAAGTTTGGACTATCTCTGGCCATTCTGGAATGTTGTTTGACTGTTCTTTCGCTTTTCTACCAAACTCCGCCTGTAGGAGGACGTGCCCGACCTAATCCCAGGAACGGAACGAGCCAGCGGCCCTCACTGCACTGCGGACCGCCGCCTGGGCGCAGAGAGAGGACGCGAGGCCGTGGCCACGGGGACCTGGCCTGCGCAGGGAGCACGCTACGCGAGGCAGATCGAAAGTGGTGATGAACAGAAGAGGTGGGAGGAAAAGGGATAGGTCTGCGGCGGTCTAGCCGGAGCCATGACACCTGACCAGCGAGCGCTTGCGGTCCAGAGAGTGGTCTTGGCCTCTCTATGTGTACAATCATCGACGGCGAGGGTGGAAGCCCGAGGAAGGTGCCCGTGCTGCCAGAGCTCAGCTGCTCCAGCAGCTAGATGAGTAAGGACCCGTGAACTCTCGTTGCGCCTCTGGGCACGTGCGAGGAATAGGTCTGAGGCACCGGTGCAAGCGCACATGAGACCAGAACGAGATTGTTTTTTTATCCTCTGGGGGGTAACGCTCGTTACCCGGGCCTCTCCCCCCCCCCCCCCCCCCGTAACGGTAACGCTCGTACGCGGGGGGGGTCTCGGTCTTCCCCTCCAACATGCTGGTGCCCGAAGGCATGCGCACTGTGGTGTGGTGGTCGCAGGCGCACTGTGGGCGCTCGCAGGCCATTGCGGCGCTCGCATGCGCGATGCTGGTGCTTGCGGGCTTTGCGCTTGTACTCGAATCGTCGTCGTCGTCGTCGTCGTCGTCGTCGTCGTCGTCGTCGTCGTCGTCGTCGTCGTCGTCGTCGTCGACGGCGCCCGAAAACGGCCTCCGGAGGCCGAAACAGGCGGCAAACGTCGTCGTCGTCGTCGTCGACCTCGTCGCTCGTCGCTCGTCGATCATCGTCGTCGCGCGCGCGGGCGCGGGCGTGGTGCCGGGACCACGCGGCGGGCTTTGCGCTTGTACTCGAATCGCAAGCCACTGTGGTGCTCTCAGGCAGAGAGTGCTGCTCGCGCGCATACTATGGCGATCGCAGAGCGCCCCTGCTTCGCCATACCCCGCCCAGCCCAAGCGTTACCGTTACCCGGGGGGCACGACCCCCCCCCCCCCCCCCCGGGTAACGAGCGTTACCGGCCGGAATAAAAAAATGATCTCAACCTCGGTTGTCAGGAAGTTTCATGCGGCATCGACGTTTTCTGGAGGCATGAGATACGACGGGAAATGTGTTGTGAGGAAGTGTCACGCAAAGTGCTCGCTTTCTGGCGGTCTGAAAAGCGACCAGATTTGCTTGAGGAGGTCTCAAGCAAAATCACACATTCCTGGTGGCATGGCCGAATTTCTGGTCCCCTTGGAAGGCGACCGGACATTTTTTCTGAAGACGTCGTGGGCGGAACCCACTTTTCGGTCCAAACTCCATTAGGCGTGTCTAATGGGGGATAGGGGCACCAGAAACTTCAAAATTGGCATCGAAACCAACGATGTCCTGGGGCCCCGCTGCCTAACGGTAGGCAGCCCATGCCTGCCTCGCATTCCGCAGTTTCTATTTTCGTTGATCCAGGGGGGTGTATGAAGTGGGATTTTGGACGGAGTCTTTACTGCAACATCGTTGATGCGTCTGGGATTTACACTGGTCATCCTGCTTCCTCCTCCTCCTCCATCTCCATCTCCTCCTCCTCCTCCTTCTCCTCCTTCTCCTCCTCCTCCTTTTCCTCCTCCTCCTCCTCCTCTTCTCCTCCTCCTCCTCCTTCTCCTCCTCCTCTCGTGTCGACTCAGTTGCATCTTGCGCCTCTCCTCTATGCGCCCCCCCTCCCCCAGTGCGCCGGGCTGCGCCAGGACCGCGTGAAACAGCTCCACAGCGGCGCGAGGCGCAAGCTGATTCGCCGGGCTCTCGGACAGCGGCCGCACGGCCAGCACCTCGACGTCGACGTCGACGTTGACGTCGTCGTCGTTGTCGACGACGGCGACGACGACGACGACGGCGCCGGCGGCAACGACGACGACGAGGGGGAGGAACGGGCCAAAGGGATTATGAGTAGATGGGAGGAGGAGATGCATAAATGGGAGGAGGAGGAGGAGAGCGGAGAAAAGGATGGAAAGGGGGGCAGGAGGATAACGGCGACGACACCGACGACGAAGAGGAGAAAAGGGCCACAGGAATGCTGAGTAGATGGGAGGAGGAGGCGGGAGGAGGAGATGGGAGGAGGAGGAGGAGGAGGAGGAGGAGGAGGAGGAGGAGGAGGAGGCGTGGAGGAGGAGGAGGAGGAGGAGGAGGAGGAGGAGGAGGAGGAAGGGGAAGAGGAGGAGGAGGAGGAGGAGGAGGAGAGAGGAGGAGGAGGAGGAGGGAGGAGGAGGAGGGAGGCGGGAGGAGGAAAGAGGAAAAGGGAGCAGCAGCAGCAGCAGCAGGAGCAGCAGCATCAGAAAGGGAGGCGGGCGTGGCGGCACGTGGGAGGAGGGGGGCGGGGCGAGGGGGGTTCGACCCGCCACGGCAGTCCGTGGACCCAGGGTTGGCTTTCCGTCCCGGGTCCGCTTTCGACATGGGCCCCGCGGGGGCCGATCGCACCGCCCGTGCCCGGCTCGCTCCTCGATCGCGTTCCCCGTGGCCCAGAGCGCTTCGTAGCTGCTCCTGACCCGCCAGGCTCTCAGAGATTCCCGGTCTGTCTCCATCCGAACGGACTGCGGGGGCGCTGAAGAAAGAACCCTTTTTGTTTGGGAGGGGCTCCGTGTTCCCCAGTCATTTTACAGCTTGCCTCAGGTTGTCATTCGGTTTTCGATCGGAAATCGACGCTTAACTGAAGGAAAAAAGGGGTCTCGTTCCTGATTCATCGTTCCTTAGGTCAACGCCCAAGCTGTATCCTCATCCTGGCTTCGTCTTCCGGTGCGCAAAGCCAGATCAACCGATGTGCGTCGATGCATGTATCCCCAATGCAGTCTGGAAGAGATCGAGGGGAAAGCCAGAGATACCCAGATGAATTTAGAGAAAGCATCTGGAAGATGCAGCGCGAGTCGAGGGGCAGCAGGTGTCGTGAAGCCCTTGGCGGGGGGCCTGGACCAAACTAGGCATCGTGATCCGCGCTAACGTTTGGATAAGGAGGCCCGATCTGGATCAAGAAGCGCAGTCGGGATCGAGAAATATGAATCCCAAGATTCATCCTTCGGATCTCTGGGCCGATCGCAAGCCCAGTTCTTGATTCGGCGCGCCTGACGGGGGGTCGGACACAGGACGACGCCCGACCGCAGTTGACGTCCAGGACAGACGGCGCCCGCCGTAGGGCGGGTGCTCCCTCATTGCCACCAGAAAAGACTGACAGCGTCCGCCGTGGCTCCGCCCGCGAGCCTTGTGCAAACTGTGCAGGGGCTGCTGCGTCTCCAGGTGCAGAGTCGGTTCGCGCTGAGGCTGATTAGCGTCGCCCGCTGCATCTCGAGCCGCAGGCGGCAAGCAGTACGCGAGCAGTCCTCCCGATCGATGGCCGCGATCCCCGCCTTCGCCCCCACTCTTTCCACCCCCACTCCTCAGAGGAGCAAGAAGTCGTGAAGGCGATACCTTCTCAGATCTCAAGGATTCCGAAGATTTTTTATGATATCTCCCACGCGGGCCGCAGAAACGAGAGCCTCTGGATGCTCCAGGGAATGTCTGGAAGGCATCTCGAGACAGTCGCATATCCTGACATCCTTCTCGTTCTCACTCCGGTCACAGACATTCGATCGGGGAGATCCCGACCCCTCCCCCTGGATCAATCCCAGAGATCAAACGCATTGAAAAAAAGTCAAGACGGAGGTTTTTCGTAATTTTCGGCCTCTAGGTATCCTCGTCGGGCCCCGGGACCGACCAAAATCGACTCAGGATGACACACCGGTCCTGGGGAATCGGTCGTCGAGACTTCCGGGGACTCCGTATTGAACAAATCACGACATCGGATCTCTGGAATTCTGGATGGCCGCGGGGCCTGAGCTCCGGCCCTCAGGAGGCCCGACACCGGGGAAAAACACACTGGGACTGAAGAAATCAGATCGTCGGAGGGATTCGGCCACGCGCACAGGGGGATCGGGGGAGGGGGGAAGGCTTCTCAGAAGCATCCCTGCTTCTCAGAAGGCGCAGGCCGGGCCATGTCTGCAGATGTAAGGCCCGCGCCTTCTAACGCAGACATCCGTCCGCTCCAAGTGTTTCGATGCGCCTGGGCCCCGGAGGTCTGGACCACTTCCCTGGGCCGGTTTTTCGTCCCGAGTTGTTTTTCCCCATATCCTAAGATGGGGTTCTTGTTATTTCTTGGACGCCGCCGACTTCTCCTCCTTCTCCTTCTCCTCCCCTCTCCTCCTCATACCCAGACTTACTCATACCCATCCTTACTCACACCACATACAAGATTATTCATATTCAGACCTACTCATACTCAGACCTACTCCTGCTCAGACTTCCTCATGCTGAGACTCATGCACGCCCCGTTCGCGGCCGCTTTGTGGGGATGCCTCAAGCGGTTTGCCTGTTTTCTGTCCCAACATCCTTCGCTTTCGGAGCAGATTTGGAGGATGTCTCGAGCGAGGCGCTCATTTTCACCCCCTAAGGGGAGCCGCCAGGGGTTATCTCACGGTCCCGTTCGCGGCCGTTTTGTGGGGATGTCTCAAGCGGTTTGCTTGTTTTCTGTCCCAACATCCTTCGCTTTCGGAGCAGATTTGGAGGATGTCTCGAGCGAGGCGCTCATTTTCACCCCCCTAAGGGGAGCCGCCGAGGGGTTATCTCACGGTCCCGTTCGCGGCCGTTTTGTGGGGATGCCTCAAGCGGTTTGCTTGTTTTCTGTCCCAACATCCTTCGCTTTCGGAGCAGATTTGGAGGATGTCTCGAGCGAGGCGCTCATTTCCCCCCCCAAGGGGAGCCGCCAGGGTTATCTCACGGTCCCGTTCGCGGCCGTTTTGTGGGGGTGTCTCAAGCGGCTTGATTGTTTTCTGTCCCAGCATCCTTCGCTTTCGGAGCAGATTTGGAGAATGTCTCGAGCGAGGCGCTCATTTTCACCCCCCAGGTGGGCCAGATTTTGAGGATGTCTTGATCGGTGGCCAGACTCGTGGGCACAGATTCTCTTCAGGATGCCACAGGAGGCTCCAACAGGCTCCAGGAAGCCCCAGGAGACCACATGAGGTCCCATGAGGCACCAGGAGGCCACAGAAAGATTCAAGAGGCCACAGGATGTCCCAAGAGGCCCTAGGAGGCCCCAGGAAGCTCCGGGAGGCCTCAGGAAGCCACAGGAGGCCCCAGGAGGCCAGAGGAAGCGCCAGGAGGTCTCGGAAGGCAACAGGAGGCCCCGAGAGGCCCCAGGAGCAGGAGGCCTCAGAAGGCAACAGGAGTGGCTCCAATCCTATGTGTGTTTACGTATGCTCCTATAGATTGGGCCTCACCTGGAGCACGAATCCTTGATGTTATACGTATGTTTCTATAGATTGTCCTTCTCCTGTGTACTTATGTTCCTATAGGGCCTCTCCTGGGGCACGAATCCTTGGTGTTTTACGTGTGCTCCTATATATTGCCCCCTTCTCCTGTGGCTCCAATCCGCAATGTTTTATGTACGTCTGTTGCTATAGATTGGGCCTCTCCTGGGGCACGAATCCTCCCTAGGAGGTCCCAGGAGGCCCCAGGAGGCCCCAAGAGGCTCCTGGAGGCCCCAGGAAGCCCCAGTAGGTTTCAGGAGGCCCCAGGAGGCCCCAGGAGGACCCAGGCTCATGCGCAGAGACGCGCTCGTACTATTGAGGCTCATTCACACTCCAATTCATTCTCAGTAAGATTCATGACCAGACCGTCACAACAGAAGCCCGTTTATATTCGAAAGCTCTTGCGCCTAGACATTCACGGCGGACAGGTCCATGCGAATAGATGCACATATGGGGAGCTCCACGCAGTGAATAATTGACGGTCCCGAGGCCCGGCGAGGGCCCCAGGAAGCCGAAATGGGCCCCCCAAATCCGCCGCTCCAGCGCTTGTTGGAGCGCATATTGGATCTAGCTGGAGACACGCCCAGATCGACACAGGAACAGCTCTTCGCAGATCTGGGTGGCGGCGGCGGAGGAGCAGGAGGAGCAGGAGGAGGAGGAGGAGGAGGAGGCGGAGGAGGACGAGGAGGAGGAGGAGGAGGAGGAGGAGGAGGAGGAGGAGGAGGAGGAGGAGGAGGAGCCTCACCGGGCTGCCGCGGCCGAGGACGGGCCTGCCCCGGGGAGGGCGAGGGCTGCCCGCCGTCGCCGGGGGCCCCCGGCGCGGGCGGCGGCGACGCCCCCGGCGAGGAGCAGGACGCGCTGGGCCCGTGGGCGCTCCTGCGGCGGGGAGGGCGGCCGCGGGCCGGGCCTCCGCCGGTCGCCAGCGTCGGGCTGCTCGGGGGGGCCCCACAGCGTCCTCCTCGATCGTGGGTCCTCGTGCTCCTGTCGTCCTCGCTCGCTCGCTCCTCTTGCTCCTGCCTCCTCCTCCTCCTGCTGCCTCTTTCTCCTCCTCCTCCTCCTCCTCCTCCTCCTCCTCAACTTCTTTTCCTTATAAATAACTTTTCCCTGTCGCACCCCGAGGCCAGTTTTTCGGGCGGGCCGGGCGTCTCGCCTGAGACGTCCTCACTATTCATGATTCTCAAGCTAAAAAATGGCAACAGCTTCACAGATGGAGGGGGGCCGTTTTCAAAATGTGGCTCTCGCCTTAGCGCCGCGCACATTCGTTTTGAACATTTGCAAGAGCTTCACGGATTGAGGGCGGGTGGTTTTCAAAATGTGGCTCTCGACTTAGCGCCGCGCACATTCGTTTCGAACATGCGCAAGAGCTTAACGGATTGAGAGCGAGTGGTTTTCAAACTGTGGGTCTCGCTTCAGCGCCGCACATATTGTTTTAACAAATTGTAAGAGCTTCACGGATGGAGGGCGGTTCCTTTTCAAAATGCGGTTCTCGCCTCAGCGCCGCGCACATGTGTTTTCAACGTTTAGAAGAGTTTCACGGATTCCCATGATCAACGTACCAGAAATTGTGTTGGACGGACGCAGGATCATGTGGGCGCAAGAAGTATGTTGATTCGCGGTGTTGAAGTCCAAAAAATGGCCCTCTGGCACAACTCCGGATCGTCAGGACGCAGCAGTCAGGTTGATCCGTGGCGTGGAAAACCCAAGAACAATGTTTTGGCATGCTTTAAGGTCTTCAAACGGTTGTCCTCCAACAAGGCAGTTTCCACAATTGAAATGAACCGTTGTAGTGGCATATGAAGAGGGAGCTTGGAGGGAGGGTTCATTCCATCATCGTTGATGATTCTTGAATTTACATTGGTCCTCCTCCTCCTCTTCCTCCTCCTCCTCCTCCTCCCCCTCCTCCTCCTCCTGCTCTTCCTCTTCCTCCTCCTCCTCGTCCTCGACCAGCAGACCAATCAGCAGACCGACCAGCAGACCCGCAACCTAACAGGCCGAATGCCGCACCAGCCGACCGACCAGTAGCCCAACTGACCGACCACCGACCGCCGACTAGCAGACCAGCAAACCGACTACCACCGATCGACAAGCAGACCCACCGATTCCCACAACGACCAAACGACGACCCCACCGACCACCGACCAGCAGAACGACCAGCAGACTGGCAAACCAACAGGCCGAACGCCGCACCGGCCGACCAACCAGCTGACCAGCAGACCGACCGCCGACTAGCAGACCAGCAGACCGACTACCACCGACCGACCAGCAGACCCACCGACCCCCACAACGACCGAACGACGACCCGGCCGACCACCGACCAGCAGAACGACCAGCAGACCGACCAGCAGACCGGCAAACCAACAGGCCGAACGCCGCGCCGGCCGACCAACCAGCAGACCAGCAGACCGACCACCGACTAGCAGACCAGCAGACCGACTACCACCGACCGACCAGCAGACCCACCGACTCCCACAACGACCAAACGACGACCGTCGAAGACCCCACCGACCACCGACCAGCAGACCGACCAGCAGACCAGCAAACCAACAGGCCGAACGCCGCGCCAGCCGACCAACCAGCAGACCAGCAGACCGACCACCGACCGCCGACTAGCAGACCAGCAGACCGACTACCACCGACCGACCAGCAGACCCACCGACTCCCACAACGACCGAACGACGATCCCACCGACCACTGGTCAGCACACCGGCCAGCAGACCGACCAGCAGACCGGCAAACCAGCAGGCCGAACGCCGCGCCGGCCGACCAACCAGTAGATCAGCAGACCGACCACCGACCGCCGACTCACAGACGGGAAGACCGACTACCACCGACCGACCAGCAGACCCACCGACTCCCACAACGACCAAACGACGACCCCGCCGACCGACCAGCAGACCGGCAAAGCAGCAAACCGCACGCCATACCGACCGACCGACCAGCAGACCAGCAGACCGACCCCCGCCCGACGGCCAACAGACTGACATACCTACGACCGACCAGCGTCCAGCAGACTCACCGACTCCCACCCTTCACACCGAAAGAGCTAAACAAGGCGATCAAATGTCTCCGTCTTGGTAAAGCCCCAGACACGAAAGGCCTCCGCGCAGAGATGCTTAAAGAAGGCACAGAGGAACTCAGAGGTGCACTTCTCCACCTGCACAACACGATCCTGCAGCGCGAAGCCCCGCCGCCGGCCTGCTGGAAGAGCACAGTCATCACAGTCATACCAAAAAGTGGAGATCTCGCGCTTCCACAAAACTACCGCCCCATTTGCACGATACCATTGTTGTACAAGCTCTTCAGCCGACTACTGTACAACAGGCTACAACCGACGCTTGACTCACACCAGACTGCCGACCGGGCGGGCTTCAGACCAGGCCACTCGACCACTGACGACCTCTCTACCTTCCATTTATTGCGCGAGCGCGCAAACGAATGGGGCCAAAACCTCTGGGTCGCAGCACTTGATTTCAAAAAAGCTTTCGATTCAGTTGAGCACAAGAGCATATGGGCAGCACTGAAGGCACAAGGGGTCCAACCTGGATACGTTGCACTACTCCAACAGCTCTATGAGGGACAGAGAGCCATGGTGAGGACAGAAGTCAGCAGCAGACCCTTCACGAAGCAGGGAGACCCACTCAGCTCCATACTCTTCAACGCTCTTCTACAATCCATCCTTGGACCGCTGGTTTCCGAATGGCAGCAAAAAAGGAAGGGAGTTGAATTGGGATTCGCGAGCACCGCCACGCTGACCAACCTACGCTTCGCCGACGACGTGCTCCTGACCAGCCAAACTCTCCCGCCCCTGACAGCGATGCTTGACGACATTGTGCGCGCGACGAGGCTTCGCGGGCTCGAACTACACCCAAGCAAAACCAAACTACTGAGCAACCAGACGAGAAGGACCGGAAGGGCGAGCTCGCGCACAGCACGTTTCCAAGACATGGATATAGAAATCGTTCCATACGAGGGCAGTGTTAAATACCTCGGCCAATTTATCAACTTCCACGAACCGATGGAAACGGAAATCCACCACCGCACGCGAGCTGCATGGGCATCACTCACGTCTCGCAAGCAGGAGCTGACCAGCAAACACTACCCACTGGCTCACCGACTCCGACTTTCCACCAGCACTGTAGCATAAACAGGTTATACGGAGCCTCTACGGCAGAATCCACGACGGACACAACGACGCATGCTTCGCATGATCATCAGAACGCCATGGAGACGCACAACGAAAGAAACCGGCCCTCACAGCGGCCAGGGACCTAATCTCGACGGCGCGAACAACGAAACACAAGACCACGAATACCGCACCAACAGCATTAGCGACGACGTAGACAGCAACCCACCACAGTGTGATGTACCTGACACGCCTGACAAGCACAGCGAAGACGGCGAAGACAGCACCACCGCAGACGAAATGGAACCATGGGTCGACTACATCCAGCGAGCGACACGACGCGCAGAGCACGTCATGAAGCTCCACCACATTGACAACTGGGAGACGCTGCGCAAACGGAAAGTATGGCGCCTGGCTTCGCGAGTCGCAAACCACGACTGGACGAGGTGGACATGGCGAGTGCTGCGCTGGCACCCAGTCCTCAACCCGCGCCAGCGGGGACAGGCAGCACGGTGGCTAAAACAAGCGTTGGGACGACGAAAGCACCACTTACTTACGTCAACGCAGACCAGACCTCCACCGACCGACCACGCAAGTCCATTCGAAAGGACAACCGAACGACATCACATGGACGCAGACAGCCCAAGACACCGAAGCATGGACAGAGCTCGAGCACCACTTCACCGACCTCACGTCGACCAGCACCCGGGACTCAGACCAATGACGTAAGATCTCTGCGAACGTCGAGACGTCTCGCCCAAACCGCGCCGACACCGACACCACCAAGGACTTTCTTTTCCCTCCTGCCTCCCCCTATCCTCCCCTCCTCCTAGTTCCCTACCTAGTCTCTGCCTATAAGGGCTCTGCCTAGAAGGGTTCTTACTCGGTAGCTTAAAGGGCCGGGCAGTGGGGCCCGCCCCGGGCGGTTCCCCCAGTATCCGCCCCGCGGTTCCCCCAGTTGCGCCCCCTTAGCTTGGCTTTGCTTATCTCATCTTCGGTTAGCCTAGCTTAACTTAGCTTAGCTTAGCTTAGCCTAGCCTAGCCTAGCCTATCCGCCTAGCCTAGCCGCCTAGCGTAGCTTAGCTTATGCTCAGTCAGGTTTTAGCTTAGCGCAGCGCAGCATTCGCATAGCATAGCATATCATAGCACACCATAGCATAGCATAGCATAGCGCAGCATATCATAGTGATGTATAGCATAGCATCGCATAGCATAGCATAGCGCAGTATATCATAGCATAACTTAGCTTAACATAGCACAGTGCAACATAGCATAGCGCAGCATAGCAAAGCATAGCATATCATAGCATATCATATCATAGTATTGCATAGCATAGCGCAGCATAGCATAGCATAGCATAGCATAGCGCAGTCTAGCATAGCATAGAAGGAGGAGGACGGCGTTTACCGTTACTACTAATATTGCTCTCCTCGGGGCTCCAACTCCCAGGTCGGGTCGCTCTGGGATAATGTTTACACGTCTCGCACTGCATGAATCCAGACACATCAGATCCTAGAGGCCATGGCCTCACCCACCTGGTCTGCTCTAGGCCCGGACGCTGTCCGCACCGGTGGTCGCATCGCATCGGCATCGCATCCACCCCGCAGGACTGCCCAGGAGGACAAGAAAGTGGATACAACTGCGAAGCTCGCAGCCCCCCCATGGAGACGCGAGGTTCCGGCTGGACCCGCATGTGCCTTTAGTCTGCTGAGCCTCCCAGGAGCCCACG